CTGCGGCGGGTAGTTGTGTCGCGCCGCATCGTCCTCACTGTAATTAGTGAGACATGGAGTTGATAGCTCTAATTATCATAATAATAGTGGCGCTACACAGGCAGGGTGGCGGCCCCGTCAGCTGAGCGAAAACGAAAGTAAACAGAACTCGGTCAAAGGGTTTGTACTCACCTACCCGCAATATTTATGTGGGTACGGGGGGAGGCCCCCACACCCTCTCCGGCCCCCCTTCTTTGATGGATTGGTTGGCGACCGACACGGATTGTTCGAACGATACGCTGCTAAACTTCAACTAGGTGATAGTCTCGATTTCTCGTCGTGCTAAGCAATAAGTTTATCCACAAAATTATTATTCAGCGAAAGTCTTGGAATTCTTTGTATTTTGTTTTTGGAGCAACCGACCTGCCACCCTTACTACCATTTACCACCCCACCCGCAAGCCGTCTACTAAATTTGTAAAGGTTACGCTTTTGTATTCAATATGAAAACAATAACATAATCTTATTTGCCTTTTTTACAACGGTAACGTCAAACCATCGGCCTTGTCTAAATCCGCCGGGAAGATCTCGCCAAGATTTAGGATTCTGAAATAAATGTCTGCAAATTGAAATCATCAGCGATAAATTCTATTTGTCCAAATTTACGAATCTACCGAAATATTTTGATGAAACTTATACTCAAGAACTGTATTATCATTAGGCGTTCCGTACCTTTCCTTTCAGGGACACATCGTGCCGGAAATGGGGTGTACAGCACGTGACAAATGACCATAACGACTCCTCGCGTACCAACTATACAAGACAACTTCGCATGAGCAAGGGGACTATAGAATTACGTGCCAAGCTATTTGTGTCCTTTACTCTGAGCCTATTACCTGAGTTTCCTTTAATCCGATTAAATAATCATTTCTCGATGCAATTATCAATCTTTTTATGTTTTAGAAAAATGGAATTATAAATACCTGGATTCTTCTTACACGGTTGAGTAGTAGGTAAACACTGATTTAAATGATAAACGTTAAGAGTTCTAAAAGGCGTACAAACACTAGCAAGCGCAGAATTTTTTTTAATTATATTTAAAGAGTTAACGTCTTTAAAATGAGTATAAATTAAATACATATATGTAAATATTATTGTTAAACATAAGCTAAATACAACCATTAATTTGATATAAATATATGCTTAATTTTAACTTACTATTTAATTGCATAAAAACAAATATTCAAGTGTGTATCAGTATTTAATTTTAATTCGGCAAGGGAATTACGCTGCCTGTAAACTATCAACTTTTTGTCAATTTTGTTTGATCAAGATGTTTGTCAATCATTACAAGACGCGTAACAGTGAATTTAAAGAAGGAAATAAAAAAAGACATAACTGCATGACGTATTGTTTGTAAACAAGAGTTCCCTTGTAAAGCGAACTATTCGATTTAACCTGAAACAGTAAATATCGGTCTAACCTTATCTCTAGCCTTGAAACGTGACGCGGAAGCCACGGCACTAGAGTAGTGCGCAGTGAAAGCATTGTGCGATTGATGCAATCAATGTCTGCGCCGAACTGTGTCGAGGACGCGCTCCACAACGCTCCTCTCCACTCCTCACTAATGAATTTGTAATGAATGAGCCTGTTACGTACTAATAATGTCTGTTATTTATATCATTGTATTTGATTGATAACAAGAAAAACTTATCTTTATTTCTTCATGTTTTGGTGCAATCTTCTAACGTAGGTCGGCGATCATAATAGCAACCTGAATTCTGGACACAGCTCTAAAGATAGAACGCGTTTTTTTGTTGTACCATTGTCTTACACCATATTAATTCCTTAACGGACTTTAAATTTATTCTTTAATAGAAAATCTTGGATATAAACTTTTCTTTTTCGTTACACTAGAAATAAATAATCAACAACTTCAACAAATGCATAACAAAAGTATCAGGGTTTTGCATTCATTACTATCACACCAATTTTACGGAAGCACCTGCGAGATCTGTTAGATTACACAGAAATTTTGTAGTGTTTTATGAATACTGTCACATATTTTACATAAATATATGTTTCATCATTCTCAATATGAATAAATTGACATTGGCAAATAATTCTTCTACGGCAATGACATTAAAATATGTAGAAACAAGTATTGTATCAGTTATTATTCTTGCTACGACTGGAATTGCTGTTTACCTGTTGTATATCGCGGCCGATGCGGACTGCGTAAAGAGAAACGTTCGCGAATAAGTTTCGTTATATGCGTCGCGGTCGCGTTCGCAGTGTTGTGAATGGAACCGCTCTCTAACAACGTAGCTATAAAACAATATGGAGGTGCACTTATTCGCAAGTAACCGGGTGTGCATAATGGATGCACGGTCAAGGCCGCCCCTGGCCGACGACCCGCTTTTGCACGCGCCCGATTGTTTTATCCCAGCTCTATTGTTTGTGTGTGTGCGTCGTTTGAAATTAACGGTTGTTTGTGTTTGTCTCGCACGCATACGAGCACCACGATGCCCGCGAAAACAATACGCCCGCCTCACGAATTGTTTCCCAATGAAAGTACCTTGATTCATAAACACATTAACATCCGATAAATTCAGTTTTGGATTACGAATTACGTGACGTATTATGCGTCGATTCATTGATAAGACAATATCAAAGCAAGTGAATATATTAGATTAGAGGTTGTATTCGCAATTAAGCTTTTGATTTTTACGGAGAAGGTATCGTTAGAGGGGCAATGCATAGTCGATAGAGACAATTCTTCCTTTTGGAAATCGTAAATACTACTGCTATTGTGACTGCAGAACGGAATGTTGTAAGGGCGACAAGGTCGATTTATAATATTTGTTACATTTCGAGCTTTTTCAGGAAACTATCAAGTCCATGTATGTATATTTTTATATTATAAGGTGGCAAACGAGCGAGCATCCTCTCATTCGGAAAATCCACTAAAGAAGGAAAGAGGACTAAATTAGGCCTCCGGGACGCACACTCATAAGACGAAACGCGGAATTGCTTCCACTTGAAGCCTATCTTCTGTGTGGTCGTGGCATTTAAAGAGTATTTCAAGGTTAAGATGTTAAAGCTGGCTCTACCACTGTCAAATATAAATTAATCATTCTTATAAGAAAGTACCATCTTCATATACCGTAACGACGGTGAAACAATTATCTCTTATGTTACATAAGTATTGTAACAATAACACCGAGAAATGCGTGTCATTTGTGTAACAAAAAGGCAAGCGAAAATAAAGGAGGCTAATTATCATGGAGCCATTTGCCATTTAAATTCATTGCCAAGGACGTGGCTTTGTTTGCGTTGATTTATAGTGTGCCCCCATTTTCGATTGTTGTGCGTAGTACTAAAACGTGAATCGAAAAATGTTGATGCGCAAAACTTAATAGCCCTTAAAGATATCGATTATTTTCCACATAAAGAGCACTTTAGCTTCAATGTAATCAAGGTTAAACTTTATTACATTGAAGCTTTACTTTATAAATTATCTATAGTATGTGATTTATAATTAAGCTTTAGTTAACTACAGGTTTAATAAAGTAGTGGGTTATTTGACGTATAACTTTTTCATAAGAATATGCGCCTGCAATAGAAGAATTGCAATTCTGCGATATAATGGTATTGCTATTAGTAGAAGATATTGTTATAAAACTTCTAAAATCTTGTGCAAAGATGATGTAGAAATGTGACGACTTGACTGTGTTCCCCAGGGCTACGAACGCGGTGGATCCCCGCAGCCACCGAGCCACCCGTCAGGTGCGCCAAGCCCAGGAGCCGCGCCCGCAGCCGGGCCGCTCTCGCCCTCGCACGACACACAGCACCCGCCACATTTGCCGCCCGCCTCGCAGCCGCACCAGGTAACGGAATACTAAATAATATGCCTGCGATAAAATACTATAATCACCATCTTTACATCTGTGTTTGCTAGATGTCGTCCAATACTCCGTTGGCGCAGTATTTAAAAAAAAACTAATTAGTAGCCTAAGAGTTCTACCAGACTATGTTCTACGTCTATGCCAAACTCCATCGAGATTCGTTGAGTTATGCAGGTACCGTCTGACAAACGTCCATCCATACATCTAAAATTCGCATTTATAATATTAGTGGGGTACTTCTATTGTAGGGAATGTGCAAAAACTTAATGCTCAGTATGGATGGTCAATAGGAATGCATCAAACATATATTGTTTGGAAAGTCATTTGCAATTACTTATAGTTGACCACCTGTACAATAAATATAAAAATAATGCCTCGTGGAAGATCCGAGAATGTTTTTGTAGGTTACTATTTTATTTTCTGCATTCGTACTATACACATTTGCGTTTGTATTATTACTTCCTTAGTAAATCCATTAGAACCAACTTGACTACATTTAAGGAAATCCGAACGGGCTAGCATTTCCTTAGTTTTTGTTCCACAAACTTGGTTCCGAGATAGCTGTATTAAGTATCATAATAAAAATATAATTTCAGTATACGATATAAAGTCGGTAGTACTCTTTTACTTTTTATGGGAGTGGGGTAATCAGCGGCTGCTTCCTCAGCGCCCTCATGACCCCCCACCCCTTTGCCCCTTCTCTTTTTGTGAAAGTACACATCTCGACGTTTTAAACGACTAAACTTACTTTTACGACGACGCCTGGGAACGACCGAAACGACGGTATTAACCGAAATTCCAGTCGCTGCGCTAAGTGTTGTTATTGTTCCCGGTACCTCGTTTTCCCATGTGGGAATGCTTCGAGAGATTTTTGAGAATTTGTTTAAAAAAGAAACGAGCCGTTAAGGATTGTACTAGCTCTTTTATGGATGTACTTTTGAACTTGCGACTAATATCATTTATTAAAATTATATCGTAATGTCTTTAAGTTGTTTTCAAGTTAAACATTTTGTGGTTTAGAATATGAGTAATATTTTAGAATGAAGTATTTTCAAATTGTCAAAGTTGTGAAAATTCTGAACAAATAAAATGGATTAGGAAAACATCAAATCTTTTCTGATAACAATTGGGTTCACGCTGTTAAAATTGTATAGCACTCGGCTGAAAGTAATCGTCGTAATTACATTGGCACGTCGTCTGGCGGCGTAGTTGGGGCGGCGATGGCTAAACCATCCTTGTTAATGGCTACTCAAATAGTTAAAGCTTAACTACGATGCTTTGATGACGTAATATTATGTGGCACTTGAAGTTAACATCCTTTGGCAATCCTTAGAGTCATTTGAATAGGACAATTTTTTATTGTCAAGTAATTTTGATTTTGTAATAGATGCGATCGCGCGTTTAAAAAAAACCTGTAGTTAAAATAATAACTTCAATATAAATAACATGACATTTTATTGCTTATTTAAAATCTTTAAAAAGATTGTAAAAATTGTATAATACGTATCTATAAAAAACGAAACTCCCTTAACCCAATTCGAAACATGGTTTATGTTTATATGACAGTATCATATTTTTCGTGTTTCACATACAATAAAGGCTTAACGTGAAACTACGCGTTCGTGCAGCTCGCAACAAAATTGTAGCGCGGCTGTATATGAACAGTGCGCAGTAATCCACGCCGCTCCCCGTGCCCGGCTCAACTTGGGCTATGAACTTTACTGTTATCGCTACCATTAAACTGCTGCCGAATGTACAGGCCGCTCGTTTTTAGCAATTTTTAAAAATTACCTCCCCCGACCCATAACTATTTCAATAAACCGTCTATGGCCTTAGCCGCCCTAATGGACAACTTTTACTTTCCGAAAAGTTTGTTCTATTTGCTTTGACGTTCTTATTTTCTTTGTGAAACCCTGATATTTCACGTAATATAAACTTGCTTCTAATGTTTTGCTCACATTTTTATAATAGCGAGCAATGTAATCAACAGGAAGTTTTCACGTCATGGTACGCATCTAGTAACGCCTACCCATGATATGTGGGTGCTCGTTAACATATTTCACTTTAAAATTAACTATTACGCTTTAATATTATTACGTTTTGATTATTTAAATATTTTATCTCCATAAAACCCTACGTTTAAACGGAAGTAAGAGGAACGTCTTTCATCTAGAAGTAATGTGCAAGGGATGTCACGGCTCGGCTAGGAATCCCGAGCGGAGTGCGCGATGTGCTTTTGGCACGCTTCGCTTCGATTTGCATATCTTGACGGATATATGAGATGAGCGTGGCCGCCGGGTGCCCTGATCACGAATGTCGCTGTTCTTGCGACATTAAGCATCTTTGTTATGTCATGTTTAGCTATCGTTTATACATATACTTCAGGATTTCTGTTGTCTATTGATTAATTCTACTCTAATAAAACAGTCAGATAATCTACTAAGAACGTGAATGTAAAACATGTTTTGACAAAAATACAATCATAAAACATTGCACACCTTTTTACATGTCTAATCTTTCTCTTTAAACTATTCAACATATTCAAATTTTGAACGTGATAAATGTGTCCCTTTGTGAATAAACGTCTTGTGTTCCTCGGGGTGCAAAAATTAAACGTCAGTCAGCTATCAGAGGAGCGGCGGAGCGCGATGTAACCCTCCGCTGCGCGAGGGAACGTCTTCTGTCAATTTTGCACGCGCCGCTCGTATTAAACGCCTCGAGGAGGCCCCACGGCAATTTATGCCGACGTGTACGCGACCCATATCGCCAGCGGCATTCTGGCATATGCACATTTCTATTTTAACCCTCTTTCCTCTCCCGCACAACCAACTGAACACCTCCGATCCGAAAGGGAATCCTTGTTAACGTTGTAAGTCGCAAACGCAATTAAAAAATCCACTCGATCTATAAATCCGCTTAAATTCTCTATCGCTGTCATATTACCTACTCTGTGTTCCGAATCAATACAATGCTTCATTGTTACAGAGCATTGAACTATATCTAGAAGCGTTAGTTACACGTCGTCTCGATACGCCCGTGCTCTACCTAAATCTAAACACGATTTGAGGTTTTACAAAATTCCAGCGACCGGCGCGCGGTTAATACTCTCTACAGTCGGTGGAGAATTTTGACAGTCAAGGGCCATTCCGGCATCTCTATCGCTCGAGAGTCGTACGGTCGAAATGAAACGTCGTATCTTATTTTATGATTAGCGGCTCGAAAGCGCTTTGTAATTTTGTTAGTTCCGCCTTTCTGGTGCTGGGGGCGAGCTCGCCGAGCAGAGATCGATGCCGGCTCCGCGCGCGAGTGCGAGGGGTAGAGCTATACTCTGCAATCTCCCCGTCTCTGTCGCCCGCACCGCCTACCGGCAGCCATGTTGCGCTCGACCTGCGCTCGCCCGACCGCCATTGTAGCATTTGTAGCTAGTGATGTACCAGCCTAGTCGATGTTATCTACGTAATGCTTTTATCGAGCGTAGGCACCTTCCAACCACCTAGTCACTTTATATTCTCAGTGGAGCAGTAAAACATTTATAAAATTGTTCATACATTCATGATGTCAATTTTGAACATTATTTAGATGACACATTTTGTTTTCCGGTGCTCGCTATCGATTGGAAAGTCGTTACGAGTACATTTTGTTAACTAGTGAAGGCATAGGTATCGATGAAAAAATATCGATAGAAAAATATAGATACACGAGTAACCCCGGCGTTGGAATTAAAATGTCAGACGTGCGGCAGCGCGGACGAGCGTGGTGGCGTGCGGCGGCCGCGGGGCGCGGGAGCGGGGCGGGGAGGGGGCGCCCCGCGTTATTAATAACCATAAGCCAACAGAGGCACGAACGTCCAGAGGGGCCACGCTGCTCCGTAATGAGGAATCACTAATTATATTTTACTGGACTACTACTAAAACAGCGTTAATTGCGAACTGAGCACATTGCTACGTTTTAACGTTCTTTGTTTCTGAATGTGGTTCGTATAGAAAAATTATTATTATCACAATTCATTTATACCCCTGTGGTTAATACTTGCGATAAGTTTTATTTAGTATCAGTGTTTAGTAGGGCTGGGATTAGCTACAAAATATAATAGAGCGTCGTAGACCACGGTTCGTTTTAATATTCCCCCACGGTGGGTGCGCCGGTTGTCTACGACAGCTCCGTCGCTGGCGAGGCAGCGCCCCGCTGCTAAAAACTCCCTATATTTTATTGTCAAGGAAATATATTTGTCAAAGGTCTTGCGATTAATTGTTCGAGTTTTCTGTAGTGCACCTCAAGGAGTCTTTCTTTTCGGGGGTATGATATGTAAGCGGCAACATTATAAGGATTAGTACGTTTTCTTTTTGAAATAGAAATATCGATAAGCTTTGTAAAAGTTTTATCGGCTTTTTATATCGATATTTTTAAGTTGAGCTTTTGTTACATCCCGATTTAAAAATAATAAGCTGCCGTTTATTAAGAGTATGAAAAATATTGCATTAAGTAGGATAAAGATATTTACAGTGTTCAAAATTAAATAACTCTCATTTTGAGACACTATTTCCATTGTATAATTAAAATTAATAAAAAATACATCTACTTAAATAATAAACTGCAAAGCGCTTTATGCTCTGGGAAGTTTACGTAGTCGTTCTTGAAGCAAAGCGCCGAGTGCGGTGTTACGACTTGTGGAGACGGCTCCTGGCTCCCTTTTGCTACTTGCAATGTATGGAATGGTGCAATTGAATCTGGCCTCTACCCCCCTTAATACGGCTTGTGCAGTTATAGTCGACAATAAGTTATGCTCAGATTATAATGCTTTTTATATACTACTAGCTGTCGCCCGCGACTTCGTCCGCGCGGGATTAAAAATAGATGTTGTCCGATTCTCAGACCTACTCAATATGCTCACAAAATTTCATGAGAATCGGTCAAGCCGTTTCGAAGGAGTATGGGAACGAAAATTGTGACACGAGAATTTTTTATATAAGATGAATAATGTTATTATCTAAGCTTTAGCATACGAAGTAATAACCAGATTTTTGTATAACAACAACCATTTGTTATCGATTCCATCCAATATAATTTGCAGCTATGAGTTTATTCATTTAAAAACTCTTTATGTTCTAAAATTGGTATAGATACCTACCTAACTTTAAATTATTTTCAAGTTGTTTTTAAATTTACGATAACTCATACATCCGTGTACATAATTAAGGATTATGAACTTGAATGCCGTTAATTTTCTACTTAAGGTAATTTGTTTACAACAATAGCTAATGAAATTTGATCTTGTCCGTTTTTGTTCGTAAGATAAAACTTGAGGAGGAAGTATCGAAGGCTGTAGAGAACCCTCCACTAGCTTTGATGATCGGAAATAATAGGAAAGTATCTAAAGAAATGTTTTAGTGTAAGTTTGAAACTATCGAGGGGTGCTTGAATAAAGCTTACCTTGTTCACAAAAAAGTCTCCGCGACGGTAAAAGTAAATAAAATGAAATTGACGTATGAAATATAAAGAAAGTAAAAGTTGGATTGAACTATCTGTTAGGATCCAAATCAATAAGTTATCACTGAGCCATAATACTACTCACATAAATAGGCATGAATTTTAAACTAGCAGATATTATTTTAATCGTTAGTCGGGTTTAATTCCCAGCGGCGGCGATGGCGAATTAACGAGCCTCAAAATTCTTTGGCGCGCCATAATCTGGCGCACGCGGCTGGAAAAAAGGAAAATTAATTTTCCCCCGGGGACTCGTCTGGTTTTGTGTTTTAAGATTATTACTATATTTACTGTCCCATTCTATTGAGCGCACCAAATTAAATTCAGCTGTTGTACTACAAATTGACACTAATAATATTATAATTATAATATACTTGTTTTGTAAGTAAAAAGACCACGCCATAACATTTCAATATAATGATACTAAAGTGCTTCTTTTCAACCCTTATTACCAATCTTACATTCTTTGACGTAAATAATATTACATCAAACATTTATGAAATAGCAGTAAATTTTCGTTTGATGGCAAAAGAGCGTTGACCTAAGCATCGAATATTTAATAAAACCAAACATTTCGTGTGGGTTGGCGGAGCGTCCGCTCGCAGGGTTGCCACAAACCAAAGTGAAATTAATATTTCTCTTGTCTCATCTCGCAACCCCTGATTGCGGGTTTGTAGCGCCCGCCGCCGTTGCCAGTTTGATATTTACGCCAGTATTTGACTTGTACGAATTTTCAAATAAATACACACATATCACTAAAACCGCTTTAGATTTATATCCTACAAATACATAACATTAAGTAAAAGAATATTTAATATGTACTTTAATACTGCTTTTGCACGTAATATATAACCTAATTTTATATCATATCCAGAAGAAAATATACTCTAAAATATTTTAACGTTGAGCCAAAATAAAACTAACCGGGCGGAGTGTCTGTGCCGCCTTTATAAAGTTGGTCGCTTAAGCGTTTTAGTGTCGGGGGCGAGATTTGAGCAAGAGAAGTGTTCAGAGTTGCGAGCGACTACAAACTCGAGACGGTCAACTTGTTTGCAACGTTGCTCCTTTGAAATTACACTGCGCTGGCGGAAATATGAAAGCTCTGATCGCATTGCTCTTTAAAAACTAGAAAGTCAGTTAAGTTTTGTCGATGAACGATAGCTGGATTGCGGAAGTGGTCGCTATATTACACAAAAAGTACTTCATTTTAGTAAGAGCATGGATTTGATTTTTATATGGTTCAAAGTTATTGAACCGAGAACTTTATATGTATTAATGCTTCAAGAAATATCCTACAGCCTAAAGCTCGTCCTTGCTAGAATGAATTATTATAATATGATGAATCAGGCATATTAGTGTGTTATGTTACCACAATATAAAATAATAAGTTCTAATATCTTGTCACACACTGAAAAAACTGCACATTTAACGCTTTTTTTAATGAAATAACGTTTACGACTGCCATGTGTGGAATTTGACTTTCCTATGTTTACATAATGTCATTCAATTGGAATGAGATAAAGTGATATTCATATCTCATGTGAAAATGTGATTAAAATTGATAACATTTTAATAATATATAATTCAATAATATTGGATGTTATTTTGTATTGTATTTTATCAGACGAATGCAAATTTTGAACTTTGGAAATTGGTCAATTGATATGGTAATTAAGTGAGTCATTGTCGTGCATAATGTTTTCAATATAGCTTGCGGAATGGATTTTAATTTTTATCAACAAGCGAGTGCTTTTAAATCTGTATATTAAACACTTGATTAACATACTTTTCATTAAGATTGAAAACTACTTTAGATTTGTAAGCTAAGACTTTGACAGGAACCAAATAAAAATATGAATGTTAATAGTCGATTCAAAGGAAATAAAAATTAACTAAAGTAACTTTGACGTAGTTATACTGTAGTTATGAACAAATTACCCAAGTTATTTGTAGGCAATAAACTGTTAGCGGATTTGTTAATTACCTATAACAGTTTTCAATATTATGGTAAAAAATTTATGCCTCTCCAATACTCTACGAATTAATATGCGCATGTTTCAAATTTCATCTCGAGTACTTCGGCGTCTGAGAATAGCGGGCCGACTCGTAGTGCTTCATAACAACCGCCCCTACGTATAACGTCGTAACTCATTTTTTTAGTAAAATTACTTTTTATGTTTCTTAAATTCTGCTTAACGTCTATATATACTTAAACCAACACTTGAATATCTGGTTAAAGTCACTATGAGAACTTTATGTTGGATTCCGAAGAACTGTTTGGAACGATTCCTGCCGCCGAGTTGCGTAATCGGACGACACGACAGACCGCCAGGTTCCATCCACAAAACCTGGATGGCTGGCGTTCCACAACGGTGCGATTCTCGCGCAATTTCTTGCCTCGCACAGTCGCGTTGTGGAACGGTCTGTCCTCGGCGGTATTTCCAAACCAATACGACTTAGGGACCTTCAAGAAGCGAGCATACCATTTCCTTAAAGGCCGGCAACGCATCTACAGTTCCTCTGGTGTTGCAGATGTCCATGGGTGTCGTTGATCACCTCGGTGTTCCCGCCGCTCGTTTGCCCCCTTCTCTTATAAAAAAAAAATGTTGGATTATCTGGTTAAAGTAGTGGACTTTAAATAGAATACAGTTATTACATAGTAACACCATAGTAGTAACATACTAATAAGGCTCTACAATTCAGGAAAAAATTTCATTTTTTGTGTTACGTCTATTTACGTAGAAGCCGTCGATAGGTTTCCCCCTCACATCGGAAAAAGTTTGTCGAGAATGCCACTTCATTCTTCGTTAGTCATCGGATAAGGAATAGTTGAGTGGAACGTCCGTCGCCCGTCGCTGGCATTAATTTACCCCCACTACGTCATCTCCACGCAGCCTCAGCTTTCAAGGTCACACCTCGATTGCATGTGCGTCATATCGTTTAATATTTACACTGCTTTTATTCAAATTAAACTCATTACCTCACCATTATAATGTTAAGAAAGATTTGTATTCAAAAACCTTTATATAAAGAAGTTTTTTCAACTACTTTGCATTAAAATCGATAAGAGAATGTATTGAACCTTTTAAAGGGTAATGGCGTAGAATTCAGTAGCATTTTGAAAACTTAGAGTTCCAAAGAGCAGTCAAATTTTCAATGTTGAAGTGTGTAAAACGATTAGTCAGTTTGAGCGACGAATTGAATGAGAAAAAAATATTGCATGAAAATATTTTTGCACGTGTTTCACTATCAAACATGAAATTTCAATTTAACGTCAGGTAAAAATGTTTTTAAAAGATCGAAACTGAAACGTTTCTGAGTAATCCTATTTTAAAAACACAGAAAAATCTATGCGTTTTTGGAAAACTGGAGATACGAGTTTTTGCCTTTAAATCGGAGCAGTGAGATTAGATCGGATGAGATACCAGTTTTAAGTGAGATTAAAAACGATAATATTGATAAAGTAAATTAATAAAAAAATCAAATATTTTTACACAAAATAAACATTGAGAATAATCTTAAATTGAATTTTTGAAAACCTTAACCATTTTGTAATTCGATTTTATCGAATAGTAAAATGTTTTGATCTGATTGTAACTAATATTCACTTAGCTAAGATTTTCGAGCTCGGGAAAATCCGTGCTTATAGTATGTAAATATGATAAACGTTACTCAATGAATACGTTATTTGTTGACAGGGCTACCCGCCGCCACCGAGACCCCCGCAGCCGTCCACGCCTAATGCACATGATCCTGACTCTGTAAGTTTTTATATTTTTATGGAAATCTGATTTTGTTTACGTGTTTTCATGATTGTAGTAGCGCTACTAATTTGAGAACAAAATAAGTAATTATTACGCACCTTTCACGGATGTAGGTCTATGTTTGAAGGACCTATCAGTTAGGTCTCTATCTTGCTATACTACACCTACCAGACCAAATGCACTGAGATATTCTTCCTTTGATTTCAACTATCTACTTGTTAGTCGCCTGGTTATTTCATAGTTAGCGGAAACAAAATGTAACATAATTATTTGTAATGAAGTTCTCAAAGTTGCGCGACCAGTGGCGGCGTCCGGTGCGGTTCGATTCACACGGCCGTAAAACTCCGGTGGAACCTGAATCGCTGTTATTAAGCTAACGGCTTGGTTACTCTATTAACGTAAACATTTCGTTTGTACCTTGTGAATTACTGACTAATAGACTTACGTTGGTATCGTATAAGCGGCTGAAACATACACAAAAATGTTTGTCCTGATACAAGATTATGTGCTTAAAAAATTTATTACACTTACTATTAATACCACTTAGTAACTTACTAATATTGCTAAAGGATGAGATTGTTCAAAATCTTTACCCCAGAACATTTTTAGCGTTATTGATTCGTATTATAAACTTACTTCATATTTTTTTGTTCATAGACGTGGGTGTGAGTAAAGTTTATTTGTAGCACGCTATTGTTTTCATGTGAAAAATGTAAGCAATTTCCTATTCAGCGAAACGGGATGGAGACGTTTCTCGTAAGTGGGAATTATTTCCGCCGTGATTCATAAAGTGCGACGTGTTGAGAGGGGGTTGGCTCCCACTTTATCCGATACTTGATAAATGGTTAAGAAAAAAGTTAAATGCTCTCTAGTTTTAGATGATTATGTACAAATGGTGACAAATTACTCCTTAAAAATTATGAACACAAACGTTAATCATTGTCCCTTTCAATGCTATGAAATATCTAACAGTCTTAAATCTTTATCATGTCTAGAACTATAATACAATTAACCAATAAGGATTATTTAATTAAATTACAATTCAAGACAATCAAAAAGTTTTATCATCTGTTCATAATTATCCAACTCTGTTTGTGCGAGTTACTTTTGAAGAATCCATTTATTTTCAGTTTACCGCCATTCAATTTCAAACGGGTCCCCATTAGGATAGAATCAGATATGTTTGCGCAGTAAAGCAGATTGTGTGTCCATCGTTCTGAGTGCAGATCAAAGCGATGTATGTACGAGGGGCACGAGCCCGCGGGCACAGCCTCGAACCCCGTGTGCTGTGTGCAGTGTGCAGTGTGGATTACGACTAGCACGATAAAAAGTATTGTCGGTGACAGGCCGCGACTGCCCAGGGCTGTGGGGCCTATTTGATAAATGCACAAAGCTTGTTTCTTTTGTCAATAGGGGCTTATTGGGAACTTTTATAGGTGGTACGAACTAAAAATGTAATTCGGATGTATTTAATTTTACTAATGACTTTAAAATTTTATTTATTTAATAAATAATCAGTCACTTCCCTTCGCGTTATGCGTATCAAGAATTTAAATTGTACTTTAAGATAAGCCATATTATCTTATAAAAAAAAGTATTTTCAAGCGTCATGAGTCATTATCCAAGCGAAGTTTTTTTTACTTGATAACGAACTCTGAAGCATTTGTATCAATTTGATATACAAATCATGTTTATCGTAAAATTTTAAGGAATCACCAATACTTATGAATCTTGAGATATTGAATTCTCTCTGCGATTGTATTTTAAAAACGGTTAAATTTCTGCATGTAAAATATGCACTTCTTTTAAACGTACACAATAATTTCTTGTGGTTGTTAAAAATATTTCACACTTTTCATTACCTCCTCCATCCTCAAAAGAATATGTCTACGCCAAAAAAACATGGACGAAAAACAATTTAATACGTAGAGAAGACTTCAAACGTTTGCTTGTCAACCCTAAGACATTATTATCAAACTTAGAAACTCAGCTATAACAACCCTAAATCGAGCGGGAAGATAGAGCGGGGCTGTTTGATGTTGATTGATACCGTTAGGCATTGTACGGGCTCAGCCGGGGGAGGAACGAGAGGAATTATTAAAGCCGCGCCGGCGTCGCTACTCGCTACGTGTCGCTTTTTGTAATGAATGTACCGCGCAACAACGAGGGGACCCCTATAATGCTGCTCGAGGATTGAACGCCGTACCCAACTCTAACTCACACCACCCTCGGGTTTATTTTGATAATTTTAAAGTCATATTCGATACATGCGACTCATATTTAATAACAATATTTTTAATTTTTAATCGAATTTATTTTAATTAATATTAAAATGCAATCACGCCGACACCGTGCAATTTATAAAAGCTACTGTATTTATAAAATTGTTGAAAGGTTTTTCAAATATTCGTGTAAAGAATTCACGCTTCCTATACTATAGTGGTGGAAATCTCTACAATGTCATTCCATGCATTAAATTCTAGATCAGATATAAATTTTAATCGATACAGCTTGTATCAATATTTCACATAGCTACCTAAGGTCATTGATCGATTAAATGTAAATTATTTTGAGTCATTATCAAGGATTATCTCCGAATAACCTTAATAATGTTTCGTTATTATTATGTAGTGCCACTCCCGTGTTGCTTTCATTTGATTTTTTCTCTTTTATTATTTACTTTATCCAGATGTTCTGAGCATCCAAAAATCAGTCCCATAAATCCTACAAAATTCAACTAATTCTTACAAAGTCAAAAAATCAAATCATCATTACGTAGTTAGTAAGATGTAAAGGAGCTTTTTGTTAACTTTAAAGTAAATATGTGGAATGTGAAAGCCCTTTGCTCGCTTTCTTATCTTATGAAACCCTTTTTGCGTAAAGCGGAATGTCGTGCATATGTTACTGAATGGAGTAGTGGAAGGGCTTTTTGTACTGTGAGGTTGTTCTACGGGTAATTCCAACCCTACCTTTTAGTGAACAAGGTTATGTTGCCGGTGCGCAAACAAAACAACAGGTGCTTTGCACCTTTCATAGCAGTATCCATTTAATTTCTAACGAATGGTAAAGCGTTTCTTACTTCTTTTTGCCATTCCATCTCGTGTCGTAAAATCTGTGAAAAACAGAAATCATATTAGAATTAATTTGGATACGATTTTTTTTTTCATTAAAAATCACATCACCATTTACTTTTCATCGGAAAAAAACACTTTGTTTTGGCGAAATTTTAACGTATCTGACATGGGTCCATTTTAAAATGTTAGTGCTTTCAACATCAACATTAAAGAATACATAAAATGCTTTTTATTTAGCGTAACTTACAAAATGTGAAATACGGTCTGCACGTTGCGCGGGCACGTTCATAATAAAGGAGATTGAGTGGGCCCGCTGCCGTTGCAGTCGCAAATGAATGACAGTAACACAGGAGGACGTAATCAGAGGGTCGGCCGACGTGCTTTTTACATGCACAAACAAAGCAAATACTAACGCGAAAAATTTAAATTGAATTTCGTCTAAATTTTTGTAACGGCCGAGTGGGATACACGTCGCATTCGTGCAAATGCCAACCGTAATGAAGAGAAGTGTAAAGGTATAGGGATAATTATTTTGGTCCCAATGACTATTCACATTCTGATCACATAATGCACTTTAACTACAACAATTACTTGCTATACACGGCTTTGAACTTTAACTTTAAATGCACATACATATTATATGTTTAATAAACCACATAGATATTATATAGGATAGCTTAAGAAATCGACTTCTTTATGACATATATGACAAATGCAATTCATTGTTTTACCTACATGTATAGATCCCAAATCCTATTATCTTAAATAAATAAAAGGGCAATTGGATAGGTATTATAATATTGTAACTGAAAAAACATGTTTCTCATAACTCATCAAATATGTTTTATCTTTTATATAGCCAGGTTTTATTTACGAAAACAAATCTCGATTAAATATCAATCATTTTTAACATCGTATTATTTGAAACAATTAATGTATAGTAGATAACTGTACCTCTAAATGAACGCAAGCATATTTTGTTTATTTTATATCGAGCTGTAATTTAATATGTTGGTTGTCGTAGTTGTGACGTAATTATTGTAGCCAAGTGTCTCGGTAGGTAATTGCTCGTGATCTTTGCTTACTATTGTTCTTTGGCCTGATACAGCGTGGGGCAATCGTGACATTAAGTTACCTACTTCTATCTTTAATCGTAGGACTATGTTCTCTGTAACGAGAAGTAATAATTGAAAGCACTTTTTGTATAACTTTTAACACATCGAAGCCAAGCAGAATTACTAATACGGCAAAGCTTTTCCAATAAATTGTTTGTAGTAATATTTAGGTGTTACAGCAATAAAATTGATTATCTTCAAGATACAGCAAAACTGATCCTCATGACAAACGTTAACCCTCGTCAAGTTAACAATACAAATGAGATAACTACGATATACGTCGACAATTAACCTCACTTAATGTCCTAAGTGGACATTTCGCGTGATAACCGTCGGTTTATTCAGCGTTCGACTTATCGGAACTTCTTAGTATCGACTAATCGCTGTATTTGCGAAATAATGCTCGGACGTAACGCGGACTGAGAAGTCGTGACTGAACGTATTGGCCTCAATACGGCCGTTAGCGTATAATATGTTATATTTTTTATGCACGGTATCAATCAGATCCGTACGTAACTTAATGTTATCGTACCTGGATGATGAAAGTCATTCACTGTTAACTTACGATAAACGATAATTTTAGTCTGCAACTAACTATACTAATATTATAAAGAGAGCATCTTGATAACAGAAACTTAAAGCATAAATAAAATCACGTACAAAGTCAGTAATAGGTATATCATTAATAAACCTACGTAATGTAAACGCCACCTATCCTTTTTCCTTGATCTTGTCTTCGATAAGGTAAATTCATTCATATTACAGAATCTCTAAATAATTGTTTTTCCTTATTTTGTGTGACATGTAG